AGGAGGGGTTGAGGTTTATTTTTTAAAGTTAATTAAATAATAAGCTGGCAGGCGGCCTGCCTGGCCTGGGAAAGGAATATGCAACCTGTGGCTTCTAGGCACTACTTTGAATCCAGACCAGAGTGGTATTTACATTGTTGACAACTCCTCTTGCTGTATCTGGTGTTTTTCTTAAAGCCCCAGCTCCTGGATTCACAAGTTTACTGAGAGTCTCCACTTCCATTTAAAAAAGAAAGTTTCTAGCCCTCATGACGATTGTGCAGAAAAGCTTGCGCACACGACCAAGTGCAGCCTGAAGGCTCCGAAACCAGAAGGCAAATAAAATCAATGTGAAATTTAGTATTTTTTTAAAATTTTCATGAGTTTTGAACGTTTTCAAGCATTCAACACTCATGAGACAGGCCCTCCAAAATAATGAGATCAGCTTCAAAATAATGAGATTTAAAACAATGAATTGTATTATTATTATTAATTTATTTCTCTTGGGGTAATGCATAGGAGCCCCTGTCACGGACCAGTGTGCTAGGTGTGGTGGAAACATAACAGAAAGACAGTGCACACCCAAAAGGGCTTGCAAGCTAATGATACTTTCATGCGTGATTTTTTTTTCCTTCTGTTTTTTGAGCCTTTAGAGTTTGCTCGGGTCACATTTACAAGCTTTTCTTGCAAAAGCTGGCAATACTCCAGTACAGTAGGAGTGACTGAAATTGGCCAAGTTGGAAGGCTTTTTAGAGGCCTGTTTGGCAATGTTCCCTCTAATTTTTTACATCCATGTGTGGAATGAATGTTATGTGCACCAATATGGAAGTGATGTGTGGTGGGGTGGGGCTGAGGGGTTTGGAGTGTGGGAGGGGGCTCAGGGATGGGGCAGAGGGTTGAGGTGCAGGGGGTGAGGGCTCTGGCAGGGGGTGAGGGCTCTGGAGTGAGGCTGTTTGCTTGGAGTGAGTTTCTGGGTCTCAGACCAGTTCCTACTGGGGCCAGCATCTGCTTTACAAAATCACCATCATGCTAGGCACAAATTAACCCACCCCTGGTTGATATGCTCAGCAGAAAGGCCGAAGGCTGAATGGGCAACAGAGGCTGAATTCTCTAGGGGGTGGTTCCCACTAAAAATGAGGCACATTGGTGGGATTGTGTGTGTGTATGCACTCCAGTTTCTGCTGCCTGTGTTCTGTGGCTGCGGAAGGAATTCAGTCTCCAAGACCCTCAGTTCATCACCTCTTACCGGCGCTGGATCAGTGACAGCATAGTCTCTGCCTCTTCTCCAGTTTGTACCTCCACAGGTCAGGTTCTTGCCAGCAGTGTCTTCACCACATTGATTTCCTGAGGGAAATGAGACAGCTGGCTGTTATGGTCCCAGGTACAGGCAATAGCAGCACTGCGACAGCTTTAGTGACAAAATTCCCGGAGGATTTTGGGGGGTTGTAATCTTGTTGTTGTTGTTTTGTTTTGTGGTAGCACCCAACAGCCCTAGTCATAGACCAGGATCTCCTTGTGCCAGGTGCTGTACAAATACAGAACAAAAGGATTGTCCTTCCCCTGAAGATCTTACAGTGTAAGTAGTCCTGGCTCCCTCTAGTAGTTGTTTAAATACATGCAACATGCTCACAGTTAAAGGAATTCTTTTTTAATGGAGGCCTGTGTTTTTGGGGCTGACGGTTCAGTGTTTGGTCTCTTTTGTCTGTATGTGGCCAAGGTGTGTGAGTTTTTTTTAATGGTTTTCCTTCTGCATGTGTAGTTATGTGTGTCTGTACATAAGAAACGTAGGTGTATTTAAAAAATTTAAGTGTGCAGTTGTGTACCTCTGGGCGTTGTGAACTGCAGTGCTGATGAAGGAGCCAGACTGGCAGCCCTGGAGATTCAAGTCCCATCGTTATGCACAAAACAGACACAGTATGGGCAACATGAATGCCAGCTTTGTCCACACTGTCCCCCAGGGCTCTGCTCTGGAGGGGCCCTCTCTAGGAGTGAGGGGGGAGTTCACTCCTTAGGCTCATCACTGAGATTGCTAACAAGGGGGCCATTTGGTGCCAGCAATGTGGGTTGTTTTGTGATGTGGGGCCCAATTCAGCCCAGATGCAACCAGATGCATTGGAGTCAATGGGAGATAAGCCTGCTTACACCAGAACCATATGAGGCCCCTCATCTCTCTGTATGCTTTGTAAACTCCTTATCTACAATGGACAGACAGGTGCACAGTATTAGCTGTAATAGATCAAACCTCTGAACCCTCCTTCTGTGTAATACAAGCCACAGACTGATAGCAGGAGAGAGGAAGAGGTGCCAGTTCTGTTTCCAGACCTCTCCCATTCCGAATAAAGCAGAACTACATGGACATCAATAATCCCAGCTGAGGGTTTGTTGCCAGCTCTGATCCTGCCAGAACAAGAGAGGGCAGCACAGGCCTGTGTAACTAACAAATGAGGTTGGGTGTCTTCATAACCTAATGTGAACAAACCTCCTTGGGAAACGTTTTTGTGAGTGAATTTTTTAAAAGGCGCTGAAAAGCATCGGCAATCTAGACAACAGCATGGTGGTGGTGCATGAAACCTGCTAGGGACAGAAAGTAACTGTCCAGTCTGGTTTCCCTTGCAAGTTAAAACTTAATGAATTTCCATTTATTTAGCAGGATTTTGCAGTGGGCTAAAGAAATTCCATAAGCTCTGAGTTAGGTAAGGCCCGGCCCTATAACATCAGACTGCAGTATTGCCATCCCCAAGTGTTCGAAAAATTATTATATTGTCTTAAAAAAGAAATTAAAAAATACATTCTGTGTTCGTCTCATTTGCTTTCTGGTTTTTGAGTTTTTATGGTGCATACAGATCACGTTTTCCAGCTTTTCTCTTCAACCATGAGGGCCAGAAACTTTTGTTTTTGTTTTTAAATGAAAGCTGAGATTCTCATATATTCACAAGACTCCAGGAATTGGGACTTTAATAAAAGCTGCATATAGTGCAAGATGATAAAATCATGATTGTTTGCAGGACTGGTACTGTCGAGAATATGGCCTCCTATTTAGTAATTTTTTAAAATTTAATGATGTAAATTTAGTGCTTAAGAATGGTGCTGTTTTGATAGCCGTGGGGTATGATGTCCTCTAAGAACATAAGAACGGCCATACTGGGTTAGACCAAAGGTACATATAGCCCAGTGTCATGTCTTCTGACAGTGGCCAATGCCACGTGCTTCATAGGGAATGAACAGAACAGGTAATCATCGAGTGGTCCATCCCCTGTTGTCCACTCCCAGCTGCTGGCAACAGAACAGATACAGCACGGAGAGCAAAAGGCAAGCTTCCCCCACACTGTTCTCCTTGATTATCTCAGCTGGAGAAACCACCATCCCTGGAAGTTAAAAGGAAGTTAATCTTAATAATAATATTTAGTTATAATCTAGTGCTTTTCATCCATAAATCTCCAAGGTCTTTACAATGCTCATTTTACAGATGGAGAACCCTAGCACAGAGAAGTAAAGTAATTTGCCCAGCATCATCAATCAGTGAGTCAGGGGCAGAACTGGGAACAGATGTTCTGATTCCTGGTGTTATGATCTGCTGAACCACACTGCCTCTTCAAGACCTGCTCAATTTGGTGGCTCTGCTGAGACGGCTACTCAAGGAGTTGCGGGGGTCGTGCCTGCAGACGGGCAGTGCACGGAGACCCCCTTCCCCCCAGGAGCCGCTGCCGAACATGGCGGCTGCTTCCAGTGGCATGGGGCCAGGGCAGACAGGGAGCCTGCCTTAGCCCTGCTGCATCACTGCCTGAGGTAAGCGGCACCCAACTGGAGCCCACACCCCAACCACCCGGCCCAGCCCTGAGCCCCCTCCCACACCCCAACCCCAGCCCCAGTCCCCTCCCAGAGCCAGCACCTCGCACCCCCTCCTGCACCCCAATCTCCTGCCCCAGCCCCAAGCCCCCTCCTGCACCCAAACTCCCTCTCAGAGCCTGCACCCTGAACCCCCTCCTGTACCCCAACTCCCTGCCTCAGGCTCAGCCCGGAGCCCACACCCTGCACCCCAAGCCACTGCCCAAGCCCTGAGCCCCCTCCCAGAACCAGCATCCTGAACCCCCTCCTGCATTCAAACTCCCTCCCAGAGCCCACACTCTGAACCCCCTCCTGCATCCCAACTCCCTGCCCCAGGCTCAGCCTGGAGCCCCTCCCATACTCCGAACCCCTCGGCCCCAGCCCAGAGCCCGCAGCACCCCAACCCCCTGTCCCAGCCTGGTGAAAGTGAGTGAGGGTAGGGGAGAGCGAGCAACTGGAGGGGGGGGGGATGGAGTGAGTGGGATGAGGCCTCAGAGAAGGGGTGGGGCGGGGGCGAGGCAAGGGTGTTTGGGTTTGTGTGATTACTGTTGTTTTTACATTTTCTTTGAGGTAGATCCTGGGTTGCACTTATATTCAAAAAGTGATCTTGTGCTTAAAAAGGTTGGAGTCCACTGGTTTTGATGATAGTTTTTGTAACCTGGACACTTTTCCACTGGGAACTGGACTGAAACCCATCAAAGTCAATTTACACAGCCCACCAAATTACCGATCGTTATTACATCAGCTCACTGATTATTACAGTATGACATTCTGCAAACACTTTAAAAATGTCAGTGATTTACTCTTTGTTGTAATTAGATAAAGTGGTTCCAGTATCTTTAAGATTCTTTTGTATTTTTCCTTCCCAATTGGATACAACAGAGCATGCCTTCTCCTGGGATAAGCCACAAAGGGTAGACTGGAATCCGTGAAAGCACAAACAGAAGTCCAGATCCCGTGATCACATTGACCAGGCAAGAGGTAAGAGTTTTACTGGCCATTCTTCTTCTGATGTGACTGCTATGCATAGAACGAAACTTTGCAATGGAATGAAAACAGTTGTGCCAGAAGAACATTATTACCTTGAGAAGTGATTTGTTTCCCCTTTGCCAAAGATGTGTGGCTTGACAAGGAAGCAGCAGCTCATAATAGAAACAAGTGGGGAATTCTCTATTATTAGACTATTGTGTGTTGGGGTTTGGAGTGGGAGCTAGTCAACAACTGGAACATCTGCATAACTAGTCAGTGTTGGTGGGACACTGGGGACCTCTTACTAATCTTTAAGGGCCTCATCCTGCAAACTGTGAGAACTTTCAGCGGGCTTTGAGGGAACCCATCGAAAGCATCTCACAGGATTCAGGGTATCCCTAGTAGACATCCAATCATTTCCAGTTCTTCTTGTTAAACAGATGCACCTTCAAGAAGCTTGACTGGATGAAAGATCTAGGGCATGATCCTGTGAGCTGCTGAGTTCCTCGACTCCCATTGACTTCAGTAGGAGTGGAGGAGTGCGCAGCCCCTCCCCTGAGGAGGTCCTGAGTGATCTCTGCTTTTAAAATGAATGGGTTTGTGGGTGAGAATCTGGCCTGGGGATGGTTAATTTTAATTTACTAGTTTTAGCTCTGCATTTGAAACTGACCCAAATAGTTTCTTATCTGTGATACTGGCAGTTCTTGAGTCAGAGCCTTTCCCATTATTGATCTCTCAGAGGGGCCTTCCCTTAAGCTGGTGGAGTTAGATTAGGGATGGATTTGGACAGGGATGCTTTAAAAAAATTTTGCAGATGCATGGAGCAAAAGCCGGAGGCTTCTGACATACTGAAAGTAATTTATAAATTCAACGAGGAAACTATATGATGAAAATAGGTTCTCTATTATAACATAAAATGATGTCTTAAATTTTGATAGAAAACACTCTTTTTATGATGAAGATAATGTACCTTGATGGGACTAATAAATCTGAGAATTCTTCCCCCACGTGATGTTTTCAAATTAATATAGAAGCGTGGCTTTTTTTTTTTTTTTTTTTTAACAACTTTAATTCCTATCTCAGCTTCACAGCAGGTAAAAAAATTTCCTGCCCGACTTTCAGCCCCCAGCTCCTAATGGCATATTTAAAAGAAGTTGTTGCAAAACTGCATTACAGATACAGACGTATTGGCCGGTTTTATTATCCACACCCCATTTATTGGGATTCAATATTTTACAATGGTGGAGACATGATAATTTCTCAGACACAGATCTGCCCCTTTGGTAAACAGCATATATTGCTGCAGACTGCATCTATAATATATATATGTGTGGGGAGGAGGGATAGCTCAGTGGTTTGAGCATTGGCCTGCTCAACCCAGGGTTGTGAGTTCAATCCTTGAGGGGGCCAATTAGGGTTCTGGGGCAAAATCAGTACTTGGTCCTGCTAGTGAAGGCAGGGGGCTGGACTCAATGACCTTTCAGGGTCCCTTCCAGTTCTATGAGATAGGTATAATCTCCATAGTAGGGGTTTGTGCTGCAATCCAATATGTTCGCATTTCACCAACCTTGTGGGTTTGTAAGATTCCTTAAAAGATTAAGGTTTAAATGGGCTACAGAGACTGTACTCTTCCCTTCCCCATCAAGGGGTCCTTCCAGATGAGGGTTGAGGCCCATTGGCAGGGTATATAGGGGGTTGTTGTGCACCTCCACTGCCCCTTGTTGTACCTGATCTGTAGATAAAAGGATTTCGGTTCCCAAAGCTGTCAAGCTATCACTATCCACCAGCACTCGCCTTTCCTGTTTTTGCATTCTTTGTCCCATGTCATTACTTGACCCCTGTTCTTTTGTAGCTTTTGCCTTCCTTATTTTTTTGTTTGGAGTGGGGTGTATTTCTGTTCCTTTTGGATGGAACTCCTTTGGTATCTCAACCCATCCCTACAGGGATCAAATAGGCCATCTCCTTTCACCAGCCCTGAATTCACAAAATTCAAACTTATATTTACTACCAAGAAAATAGAGTTTGACATCCTGTCTCCACTCGCCCAGTTGAAAGGTTACACACCCTCAAATATCTTATAAAAATAAAATGAGAGAGAATTTCAGGAGTTGTTAATAATTCCCCAGCTGGCGTTATGTCTCATATGTTTACATCCTACACAAACGTCCCGTGGAACAGACTCAAACCCAGTGGCTAGATTTCATTTGAAGCAGATGTTGGGGCTCTAACCAAGGTGTTTGTATCTTACATGCTGTATGTTGTGGGACTCATGGAAACAATCCACTGGGCGACTGTGCAAGTGGATATCTTCTTTAGGGTTTAAAAAAATAAATAGGCTCCAGATGGCATCAACCATTTAAACTATCTTGATGTGTAACTTGAAAGGGGATTAAGTTAATTTTTTTGGTCTTCCAAATGCTTCAGATTTGGCTGGAAACAGAAGCCATGGGTTGATGTCAGTCGTGACTGAACTGGATGATTCAGTTTGAAAGGAAACAAAATCGAATTCACCTTTCACAGTGTGTTGTGTTAAGTGGATGTAGCACTGGGGAAAGGTGGTGGCTTGACAGCGCTGCCTCTTTTTAATCTCTAGAATGGAAATATCTCAGGCCACAGTGGTACAGGCTTCCCCATCTCTGCCACATTAGAGAGGTTGATTCTCTGCTGCATTGTGCTCTATGAATGCAGCTGCATCTGGCAGAATCAGGGGCCTGATTCTCCAAGATGTGCTCCTGTGTGGTTATTTACACCTGTGCAAAGTGGGTGTAAAATACCGTCAAACCAGACTTCTCCATTCTCTTACCCCAATAGTAATATTTTTCACCCACTTTGCACAAGGGTAAATGACTGCACAGGGTGCCAGGCAATGGATATACAGGTTCCGTGGGCTTGATCCTACAATCTTTCCTTTGAGTGCTATATGTTCAGACAGGTAATCTCATTAATGAGACTGCTTGCGTAGTGCTACTTAGCATGAGAAAGAGTTGTAGAATCAGCCCCAGGAACATATCTGCCCACATTAGAGTGCTCTGTCCTAGCTATGGACACAGGGACCTATTACTGAGCGAAGGAATATTAGCCAGGATGCTAGGGTGTTTGATAGATGCCCTGGGCACTATTAAATTCCATCTGCAGCAGCCTCTAGAGATGGCCAGAAAGGACCTTGCTATAACAGCTCAATCTTAGGATGGCATCTGTAAGGGCTAGTCTGTACTGTGAAATGTTACCATGTTTGAACATGGCTGCGGATAGCTGAGTTAGCTGACAGAATGCTGACCACGACTTTGTGGTTAGTGTACATGGAACAAACCATGTTCAGCAGCTAACTTAATTCTTCACAGCACTAAAATAATTTAATGTAGCCCCACACTGCCAGTGCAGTGTTGTTCCAGGTACATTACTGCGATGTCTGCCTTGGGCTGAAGTCATGCTCAGAGTAAGGCTTAGAGAGGAGGAATGGTTTAGTGATTAGGACATTAGCCTAGGTAAGGTGCTTAGGTTCTCTGTGCCTCAGCTCCCAATCTGTAAAATGGGGATCATAGCATTTTCCTACCTCAAAAGGGTGTTGTGGGGAGAAATACATCAAAGACAGCGTCTGAGCACCTCGCAGTGTAATGGGTGGGTATATACCATCAATAGATGCAGGTACAGCATGTGTTCGGGATGGCTTCGCTGTATGAGCTTCAAGCTTGGATTAGACAGAACTTCTTCGCTCCAGTCCCAATTCAGTCGACTCAGCCCTTGGTTCCTCCCAGGCAGATAAATTGAGATCCATGCAGACTATTGGCTGATCATCCTCCGTGAGCCTTAGCTACAGCACTACTACAAAAGGAGTCCAAAACATGGCTGGGACTGATATGATTACAGCTGTCTTGATATGGTGTTTCTGTCCCCTTTGTACTTAGAAATGTATCAAGGGGGCTTAATTAGAAATAGTTTTTGCAACATTGAATCTGAGTAGGTTCCCAGTGAAGTGAATTTGGGGGTCTTGGTTTAATCCCCAGTGGACATTTAACCACAACACAGAATTGCAACACACTGTACATTTTGCACTCTGGGTTGTGAGAAGCACAGGATGGGAGTAGAAAGGAGGGTTAATAGGCCAGGATTGTGATGCACTGGCAAAGCAGTGCGTTTGCTGGACTAGCAGAGGTGAGCTGTAGTGGCAAAGCTCCGTGTCAGAAATGTGCACTGCTCTGCCTGCCTACGCCTGGTTCTAGCTGTGGTCTCCCACATTCAGAGGGACCAAAACCACCACAGCAGTTGGAGACAAATGATATCTCAGTTGTCTGTAGTTTGTAACTGATTTTAAACAAATATGTTCAGATAGTTGTGGCATATGACATGCTGATAAAAGGGTTAATTTCTAAAGCAGCATTTGAAACCTCTATAAACATTGTCCTTTGAAAAATCAGCCAGGTGCCACAAGTACTCCTTGTTGTTTTGCTGAGGCTCTTTGGATGCTGTAATGCTTTATACCTTGCTGGAGAACTTTATGGCTTGGTTCTGTGAGAAAGCTCCAGAACACGCTTGTCTTCTCTTTCTTGCTAGCTGCTCATATGGCTGAACTGGCTGAAATCAGACAGCTAAGGAGCTACATTTAGGGAAGAAAAACCAAATGCAGAATAGGGGATAATCTAAAAGGATCTGTGATTGTGGTGGATCACAACCTCAACATGAGTCAACAATGCGATGCTATTGCAAAAAAAGCAAATGCAATTTTTAGTTGCATTCACAGAGGCATAGCATGCAAGTCACAGGAGGTGATGATACTCGGCGCTGGTTAGGCCTTGGCTGGAGTACTGTGTCCGGTTTTGGTCACCAATGTATAGAAAGGATGTAAGAAACTATAAAGGATCCAGAGGTGAGCGACAAAGATGATCAAAGGGTTTGAATGCAAGCCATATGAGCAAAGGCTGAAGGAACTGGGTATGTTTAGTTTGGAAAAGAGATCGAGGGGGGACATGATAGCGGTCTTCAAATACTTGAAAGGCTGCCATAAAAAA